TGGGCAGTGTCACCCATCTAGGTCAGGGGCCTTTGGCAGTAAAGTTGAAGAAGATACAGCCAAGTTATAACCTGCAGCAGAGAGCAAAACAAGAAACAAGTGCAGATTTCAGCCTTATACTGTTCAAAAGTGTTAATTTATTCTGCTTTTTTGTTGCAGGCAATTCTTGGTGGTGTATTCTAGTTTCCGGGTGTAATAAATGGTTTACAAATATCTAAAGTAAACTACAAAATTTTTCTCTGAATTTGTCTCACATTGAGCAAATATTTAGTGCCACAAAAGTGTCAGCTTTAATCTGGCACATTTAAGATGTTTTTGCATTTTCAATTCACTGGGTATTTTAATACATACATAATCTGAACTGAAAAATAAACAATTTCTTCTCTAAGAAAAAATAGTTTGTCCACTATTTAATTGCACCACTAGCAGCCCTATACACTCACTAGTAACTTTACTCACATACAGATTACGTTTCCTCCCACTTCAGCCTATCCAAGTTCAAAGTAAACAAAAATAACTAATTTGTCAAATATCACTGCTAAATCAAAGTCAACACTTTGCAAATTTACAGGAAAAAACCAGACAGATTTACAGTGAATGTGACATTGAATCTGGACACAAAAATTAGGGAAGACTGTCTATAAGGCAGTTATCCAGATATACTGCAAGTTCTATTTCACACGAAGGCAACATGAATTGGCGTTATTATACTGGGAATTTCACAAAAATTGTAAATTTTACTGTTGAGAGGAACATGTACCATAAAACATAAGCAGATGTAAATGGACTTTAATTCCTTACAAGAAAACTCAAGTCAGTGGCATCATCACTGTACACCCAAGTTCAATATCTTGGCACTTACAAATATAACAGCCAACCATGTGATTAAACAGCTCCCTTCAGTCTAATATATCTAGTGCAAAATTCACTCAGCAATAGTCCCATTAAGAAAAACCACTGCACTAGGTACAAGCCTATTCATTTACTGGTCTCCAGTTAAGGGTTCAAGTCAACTAGCCATTACTGTCACTCTCCAAAACACCACTATTTATGTATACATTTCAGACATTAAAAGTTACAAATCCTGCTTTTTCAAAATATGAAAATGCATCTCCTCTTTCTTTTCACAGCAACTACACCTAAACACTACAAGAAATTCAAGAATGTTCAGACGGGTCATTAATTGCATTAGCTACAGGGATAACTAACAAGTATTTCATTTAATCTCCCAGTCAAAGGGGGACGAACAGAAATTCTGGAGTAACAGGGTAAGAAATCTGTCAGTGACAAGTCTGCATACAGGCTGATAGTTTGTACCCTGCAGGGGTACCATATTTGGAGGAAGCCATCTTCTACAGCAGCATAAAATATCCTGCAGCTATCATGGTTTGTTTTTCACCTGTGTCCTCCAACATGACAGACAACTGTGCTTTGAAAATACTCAACTGGCTACTGGAATATGCTATGCACTGCATTTTTTAAAATGTGACATTTGAGAAAGGGGAAGGAGGTTATTAAAGACAAAGCATTCCTGCCTCTAAAGAAGATGCCATGACTGATCTACTTTATAAAGCATATGCACCTTTTGCTTTATAGAAGGACATGTGCCTGAAAAAGATATAACACTTGCTTTAACAGAATGGGAAACACTGATCAGATGTATAAGAGCAAGGTTCCAGGATCTAGTACACAGGAGGGTGATTGGGAAGACAGCTTCTCTATGGATTCTTTCCATGACCACACTTCAAAAGGCTTCTCTAACATATAACTTTTGTCTGAAGATTTTTCAAAATCTCACCCCTTCATAAATTTATTAAGAGATAATAAACCTCTGTTGTGATAAAATATTAAAGAAATATTTGTAACTAAAAGTTGTTAAATAAAGCCAATATGAATTTTTATAAATCCGGTTTAAAATATGTTTGGAGATTGTTCTAAGTGACTGGTGACTATGCAAGATGATAAATAGGATTTTTAACATGTATGAACTTAATATGAGCTACTTATTTTAATACTGAAATGACCTGGAATGCCAAAAATTACACCAACAATTAGGGTTATCTGTTATGAATAAGCACTTCTACATACACCTATTCATCATTTGCTAGAAGAAATAAGAGACCCTATGACCTAGGCTTAGTAAAACAGAACCTGAATTCAAACTGAAATCCTTGGCATTTTACTAATTTTAGAAGCATCAGATGTAAGCATCATTCAGCAAAACCTCATTTTGGGTGACACATAAATCCCATCTGCTCTCCTTGAACGTTAGAGATCTTGTAGCATTTTGCTTAAAAGGTTTGCACTGTTGTTCAAAATATCCCTTTTTACCCTTCACACCCATCCAACTATTGCACTGGAAGAGTGCTATGTGCCAGTTGTCTGCCTCCTTCCATCCCAGAGGTGACTGCATTTCAGTGATGCTGCATGTATAAAGTTTATGAAGCACTCTGGGATCCTTCAGGATGCAAAGCATGCTATAAACACAAAATATTATTCAGGACCAGTAGCTAACTGTTAGATTGTTGAGGAAGAAGACGAAAAACACTATTAGCTACTGAACCACCTTCTCCAAGAGGCGATGAAACCAGCAGCCCTGACATGCTGATTGTTGTGTGTGTATGTTTTGGTGAAAATCCCTGGCAGAGAGAAAAACAAACAAACATCAGCCATTAGTCTGTCCCCTCCTCAGGCTTGTATCTCATTGACCGTTTTTCCCTTCAGCTAAAAAATGGGGCAGGGGCACAACATGGCTTTAGTTCAACTTCAGTATTTCCCTGAGAATGCCATGTTCACCTACCTGGCCAGAGCCTGAGTCCCAACCTGTTACCCATCCCTAAGGGAACTGGGGACGATTCACAAAGCAGCAGGCAGGGAGAGGAGCCATTTAATCCACACACAAAAAAGTGGAGAAAGAGCCTCATTGGGAGAGCTGTAAGTGGCAGGGAGAATGACCACCCCTAGCCTGCCCCCCCTACACACCTGGGGGGTGACAGGGAGAATGACCTCCCCCACAAACAGACCCCTGGAGGGGTGGCAGGGAGAACGATCCCCCCCCCATACACTCTCAGGGGCTGACAAGGAGAGTGACCCACCCTGCCTTCCCCAGACGCTGTGGGGTGGAGGGGTGGCAGGGAGAGTGACCCCCCCCAGCCCCCCACAAACAGATCCCTGTGCAGGGGGCAGGGAGAATGACCCCCTAGCCCCCCCCCCCAG